TAAATAATAATAATAATATATTATAGGGATGTAACGATACCAAAAACTCACGGTACGATAATATCGCGATAAAAAGTCCACGGTACGATATTTATCACGATAATGAAAAATAAATCGGGGAAATGTGAATTTTTTTTTTTTTTTCTTGAATTTTTTTTTCTTTATTAAATAATAAATCTGATTTGTACAGCATTTTAGTGGGATAGTAGTATTTTAAAGTGTCAACAATATAACAATCAGACCCTGAAATAGAATCAAGTTTCACTTTAGTTTTTCAAGTAACTCAACTCTAACTCACTCACTCACTCACTAACTCACTCAGCATCATCAAGGTCATCTTTTAGGAATATGAACACGTCCACATTTCCAGGTAGACGCTGGGATGTTTGGGCGTTTACAATATCCCCTGCTGTGGAAAAAACTCTCTTGCTTGGTACTGATGTTGCTGGGACAGAGAGATATGCTTTGGCCATGGGTGACAGCAGTGGGTCAAACTGTGCATTGTCTCTCCACCACTTCAAAAACAATACAGTTTTTGCCAAGAAGGTGAGGCTTATTGACAGGGCGAGATATAAATATACTGTTGGTACTTGTCAATGTCTCTAGGTGTGTACATGTAGCCCTGTAAATACACATGTCCTTTTGTGTTATCTGTTGTTTTATGTTCATGTTGTAACCTACTTGCTGCCATGTTGGACAGGTCTCCCTTGAAAAGCATGTCTCAACGGGACCATCTGGTTCAATAAATTAAAAAAAATTAAAAAATTGCGGTATATTTTGTCGGTCTCACGACGGTATTGAGACGTTTATTTACCGCGATATTTGATATATCGTTACATCCCTAGTTGACATAGCTCCTAAACTAAAATGATTTAACGACAAACTAGTATCAAAAGCTCCGTAATAGTGCTGCACAATTAATCAAACTTCTCAAACATTTGTGGGCATTTTTAACCAATAATAAAATGTACAAACAAACCAAGACTTAATAGAAAAACAATAGACATTCTGCTCTGAAGAAATGCTCAAGTTTCTCTAATCTAATCTTGTTTTGATTTGTTTCCTCAGCGGAACAGAAGCTGATATCAAGAGTGACGCCTTTTCACAGGTCTGAACGTAAGTACAGAATATAAATATGTTATAATATTATTATGAAGCAGAGCTGTAAGGCATTGGAAACAGCTGGGAAACGCACCGTACACATCTTAACTCCTTAAATAAGAACTCACGTCTCACTGGTTTCCCCGGCCACTGGCTTTGGGGCGCGCTGCTGGGATGAGGCTCCTCCCCCCTGGGATGAGGCTCCTCCCCCTTCTCTTTGAACCAGGCGTTTGCTCTGGGTCTGGAGACGTGGTCCTGTTCTGGTTTTGACTTCAGGTTGCTTTGAACCCTGGAGCTCGACGGACTCCTCCTCTCGTTAGCAGTCTCATCTCGACTGCTATCACTCGGTGTGTCTTTACTGCAACTCTTAGTCCTGTCTCCGTCTCCGTTCTCCCCGCTTCCGCCTCCGCCTCCGCCTCCTAGGTTCGACCGAGGGTCTCTGTAGGAATCCGGGTGATATTTGGATCCTCGGTCTCGGTTCGACGCTCCTTTCTGTTCCCTTTCCTCGTCCTCCGCGCCCTTCTTTCGTTTGTGAGGAGGCTCTAGGTCCGAGCGCTCCATCAGGAGGCCGGCGGACGTGGAGAAGGAGGGGCTTCCTGAAGCGTTGGCGAAGCTCCGAGGAGGAAACGTCCTGCTGGAGGAGAAGTGACGGGATGGAGGAGGACGAGGAAGAAACTGGGCCGACCACCATGGAGGAGGAGCGGGGAGGAAGGGGAGGAAGTGGAGGAAGGGGGAGGAAGAGGAGGAGGGGCTCCTGAAGAGAGGGGGAGGTCTGAGAGGGAGGAAGGGGGGGATCAGCTGGCGAAGGAACATGGAGCTGGGGGAGGAGAGGGAGAAATGAGAGTCAGTAAAGTAACTGGATGGCCTACCTGCCTGTCAGCCTTCCATCTGTGCACAAACTTATCTCGTGCCCTCATTGGTCATGTGTGCGTTCGTGTGTGTTGGAGGAGGGGCTCTGGAAGGAAGTGGCAGATTTTATCCGGTTGTGTATTTTCAAATTCTATCCACTCGAGCTGGTTTCTCCAAAAGTACCTACCCCTCCTTTAATGCACTTTATAAAACGTGGATCAAGAGAATAAATCAGAAAGTGTTTTTGATCCAAAATAAATAATCGTTCCAGTTTTCTAACAAAAGGCCAAATATGGCATGGAGACGGCGTCTGGGCTGTGAGGACTATCAGCTGTTAGTCCTAGTGACAGTCAATGGGTTAGCACTGAGCCGGTTCAGAAACATCATATTCATATATCCATCACAGTCAGGCACTGATAGAAGTTGGAACCGGTGATTGTTAAAGATAGTTAGATAAAGAAATGTATATAATAAAATAACATGTCAAGACTAAACCAGATGTTAGATAACTTCATTTTGATTTAAGGAAACAGTGGTAGGGGAATATCGTCCTCAGCAGATTGTTTTGTATTTGAGATAATCACGCTGTCAGCTAAATATTAGAAAAGATAAGAGTAAGCAAAGTGATGCCTTTTACGAACATTTAGGGCTACGACTAATAATCATCTTGTTATATGATCTTCTATCAAGTCAGTCTTCAAGATGAACCAATGATGTGTTTGTGAATCATAAAACTCAAGTCAAAAACATTACCGTCACTTATTCAGCCGGTCAAAGAGAACACCCTCACAACAAGAGAGCAGAGAACAATCAGAGCGCCGCGGTGCAGAAACACACACACACACACACACACACACACACACACACACACACACA